AACAGTGGTCACTGGATTGGAAAAGGTCAGTTACACCCCAGTGCCAAAGAAGGGCAATGCCAAGTAATGTTCACATTACTGAACCATTGTGCTAATTTCACACTCCAGCAAGGTTATGCTTAAGATTCTGCAAGCTAGGCTTCAGCAATATGTGAAACAAGAATTTCTCAAAGACCAAGCTGGTTTTCAAAGAGTTGGAGGAAGTAGAGACCAAATTGCCAACGTTTGTTGGATTATAGAGGAAGCAAGAAAGTTACAGAAAAAGCATCTACTTCTGCTTCATTGACTACATTAAAGCCTCTGCCTGTGTGAATCACAACAAAATGTGGCAAGTCCTCAAAGAGATGGAAGTAGTACCAGATCATCTTACTTTCTTCCTGAGGAATCTGTATGTGGGCCAAGAAGCAACAGTTAGAACTGAGCATGGAACAACTGATTCGTTTAAGGTTGGAAAAGAAATACAACAAGGGTGTATGTTGTCTCCTTATTTATTTAACTTTTATGCAGAGTAGATCATGTAAAATGTCAGGCTGGATAGATCAAAAGTCAGAATTAAAGTTGCTGAGAGAAATCTCAATAATCTCAGATATGCAGATAATACTAGTCTTGTGGCAGAAAGTGAAGAGGAATTAAGGCTCTTGATAAGAGTGAAAGAGGGGCAGCTAAGTGGTGCAGTGGATGGAACACTGGCCCTGAAGTCAGGAGGACCTGAGTTCAAATCTGGCCTTAGATCAAACACTTGACATGTACTAGCTGTGTGACCCTGGGCAAGTCACTTAACCCCAATTGCCTTAAAAAAAAAGAGTGAAAGAGCAGAGTATAAAAGCTGGCTTGAAGCTTAACATGAAAATAAGTGCTAAGATCCTGGCAACTGTTCCTATTACTTCTTGACAAATAGAGGGAGAAGAAATGGAAGCAGTGTCAGATTTTATATTCTTGGGCTCAAAGATCACTGCAGACAGTAACTGTAGTCATGAAATTAAAAGAAGATTGCTCCTTGGAAAGAAAGCTATGGCAAATCTGGACAGCATACTAGAAAGCAGAGACATAATCTTGCTGAGAAAGCAAGTCAGAGCTATGGATTTTCCAGTAGCAATGTATGGCTGTGAGAGTTGGATTGTAGAGAAAGGTGAGCCCTGCAGAATTGATACTTTTGAACTGTAGTGCTGGAGAAGACTTTTAAAAGTGTCTTGGATACCAAGGAGGTCAAATCAGTCAATATTTAAAGAAATTAATTCAGGCTGTTTCCTGGAAGATCAGATATTAAAGCTGAACCTTAAAAAGTTTGGCTATAAAGTGAGAAGGTGCGGCTCATTGGAAAAGACTCTGATGTTGGGAAATATTGAAGGCAAAAGGAAAAGGGGATGAGATGGATAGATGGTGTAATGGAAACAATGAATGTTAACTTGTACAGACTTCAAGAAATAGTAGAAGATAGAAGGGCCTGGTGTGCTATGTATGGTCCATAGAGTCATAGAGTCACAGAGTCAGACACAATTGAATGACTGAACAACAACAATACACATAGATATAATTCATAGCTCTGGACCACCATGAGTCCTACTTTCAGTCTTGGGGGCTTCTCCCAAAACCCCTCAAATTTCAGTATGTGCCTCTTCTCTGGGTTTCTATATATGTCAGTAAGGACCCTCAGCTTTCTTGCAAGGAGTCAGCTAACAACTTAGTTTGAATATAGAATAACATTTTTCCACATTGAAAGAATACATAACAATGTAGTGAACACACAGTAGCTCATATGGAGTCCAAACAACTCTCTTTCTATTGATAGTTCCACCTTCCTATCAGTTACCCATTTAATCTTCCAGATCCTTACACACTGCCACTCTGAGGTTTAGGCTCATCCTCAAGGAGGAGTTGGAGTTCATAGAGTGAGTCAGTCATTGACCTATTGAGTCTTTCTCATACTATGTAGTTCTCCAGTCCGACAGTGCAACCTGAAGGGTTGCATATTCCTCTAAAAGAAATTTGGTGCTTGAAGGTTGCTAGAAAGGCAACCTCTTTCCTATTGAATAATTCGTAGTTATAATGTAGGGTCAGATTTGCTACTCCACATGGTCACTAAGTCTTTTACTGCTTCTTCATCTAGGGGATACATATTTGCTCCTCTATACATTTAAAGGTCATATAGAGATCGAGGACTTAAATTTAAAAAAAATTCTGAACTTCACAAACACCAAAAACAATTCCATATAAATAGTGGAACAGAAAAAATGAATATATATGAAACCCTGAATATTATTTGTAGCTTGCTTTAAAAAAAAAAGGTATGTAAATAAATTCAACAGTTACTTCCAAAGTTGTATTGCTTGTCTGTGTTTCCTTCTGACCTTCCTTCTGTTCTCTTCTGTGAACATTTGCTCTTCTATATACATCTAAAATTGACTGGGAATTTTAAAAAAACATGTGTATTCTATAAATGTCGATACCACCCTAACTACCTTCCACCCCCACTCATGTGTATGTTTATAAAATCATTTCCACTGCCTACTTCAAAGCATTATTATAAGGAAATTGCTTTTCAAAGCTTCAGGCACATTGTCATGTGCTACTAAATGAGTTGCATTATAATTTTATATATATATATATATATATATATATATTTTATATATATATATATATATATGTGCTTTTCTTTTTCTTTCTTTTTTATTAATTAATTAAGTTTTAGTTTTCTACATTCACTTCCACAAGATTTTGAATTCCAAATTTTCTCACTCTCTCCCTGCCCCCACCCCAAGACAGCTTGCATTCTGAATGCCTCTTCCCCCAATCTTCCCTGCCTCATATACACCCCCCTTCTCTTATCCCCTTCCCCTTCTATTTTCCTGTAGGGCAGGATAGATTTGTATACTCCTTTGCTTGTATATCTTATTTCCCAGTTGCATGTAAAAACAATTTTTAACATTTGTTTTTAAAACTTTGAGTTCCAAATTCTCTCCCTTCCTCCCTCCCCACTACCCTCATTAAGAAGCAAGTAATTCGATATGGATTATACATGTGTAGTCATGCAAAACACTTCTATAATAGTCACGTTATGAAAGACTAACTGTATTTCCCTCTACCCTATCCTGCACCTTGTTTTTCTGGTCTCTCCTTTGACACTGTCCTTCCTCAAAAGTGTTTGCTTCTGATTACCCTCTCCCCCAATCTGCCTTCCCTTTTATTATCACCCCCTTTCTTGTCCCATTACCCTCTATTTTTTTGTAGGGTAAGATAGATTTTGATACCCAATTGAGCGTATATGTTATTCCTACTTTAAGCCAAATCTCGTGGGAGTAAGATTTCACTCATTCCCTCTCACTTCCCTCTTCTTCCCATCCACTGTAAAAGCTTTTCCTTACCTTTTTTATGTGAGATAATTTGTGCTTTTATTTTTCAAGGTAAAGTTACTCCATGTGATATTTTGACTTCCTTTCAAAAAAGAAGCTGTATGTGATAAAGACAAATTGATATTGTGCCTGTGAAGCCAATCAAAATACATAAAAGATATGTCCTGTTTCCTACCTATCACACACCTTGTTTTTATCCCCAGTGTTTCCTCTCCCTTTATAATATGTAGCCATGACTTCAATGTAAAAATCCAACTAGGGAAAAGGGTGTTAGATCTTGTTCTCTAGAGTGGAGAAGACTATACTAATTCTCTATTCACCATGATTCAGTACTCACAAAGTAGGGAATATGTATGAATTTTAAGTAAGAGTCAGTTTGTTGCTTAGACTGAGGCTGAAAATATGGCATATGAAAATATGGTTCCAGTAGTGTGAGGGAATGGCTTGTCCAGTCCTCAGATGTGGAATATAAAATCTGTCACTCAAAATGTTTTTAACTTGGTTGGAACTGCCAGAATTTATGTTCATCTGGCAAAGCCTTCAAGAACTCAGTTACTTCCATGCCATTATGAGGCATTAGGATTTTAACTCAAATCAAAGTACCCAAAGGACTTTTGAATGTTGTCAGAAGTTCATTACAAGACATTATTTGTAGAAATATGGATTTATATCCAGTATTGATAACTTTCTTTCTTAAACCCCATTTATTTGAATTTATAATAGTAAGATTTCTGATAATTTCCTTAATCACTGGGAATTTGTTAGCCATTTAATAAAAAATTCAGCTTGCTTATTTGCCTGTACTTTGGTCATTGTTGCTAAAAGGCCTTGTGGTGTCTTGAAAACTTCTTTATGAGGTAGTAACTAAATTATCTTTCTAGATTCATAATCTGTAAAGATGGATACCTGAGCCTCATGGAAACAAATAGTAGTTTTGCTCTGTTTCCCAAATGTGTATATATGGAATAAGCATTTATAGTGCCTGCTATATGCAAGGTACTATATACTAAGATCTTTTTAAAAATAAATATTATCTCATTTGATCCTTACCACAAGCCTGTGAGGGAGGTGTTATTGTTATCCACATTTTACAGTAGAGGAAATTGAGGCAAATAGAAGTTAAGTGACTTGCTCAGCGGTCATATAATTAGTAAGTGTGTGAAGCTGGATTTGCTTTCAGATTTTCCTGGCTCCAGGCCCAGCATTTCATCCACTCTATTTTTTGCCTCTTCTCTGGTGTCTGTGAATTTGCATCTCAAAAATAGTGTAGCAATAGCTTCTTGTTTCTTAGGAAAAATCCAGCAGTGAAGAATTCTCATCTGAGAAGTATACATGTGGGAAAATGACTCAGCACTTATTCACCTGCTCCTTTATTTATGCCATACCAATAAGTGATCCACGATTATAAGCAATGGTACTGTGTTTTCCGTGCTTACTCCACAGTTGAAATACAGGGGAAAATGGTATCTCCTTACCTAGACTAACCAAATGTTAGAAGTTATTTTTACTCTAATTGAACAGTGTGTAGTCTTTAATGACAGTGTTGTTCTTGTTTGAAAGCTCTTCTGGTATTTAGTGGTAAGGATTCTATGCTCTATTTGTTTCTAATACAGTTTCAATGTATGTATGTGTGTATGTGTTTTTTTCCAGGCTAAATGTATATTTGGCTGGCATGAACCCATTTTATTTCCATGCGGCAAATATAATTTTACACTGCTTGGTGACTCTGGTGCTGATGTACACATGTGACAAAATTGTCTTCAAGGACCATCGACTTGCTTTTGTTACTGCATTGATTTTTGCTGTGCATCCCATTCACACAGAAGCAGTAAGTAGCATCGGTACTAGAAAATAATGGGCAGAAAAAGTGGAAGCCAAATGGATATTTTCCCCTCTAGTACAAAATCACTTGAACTCAAAGTGATGTTGTGAGAAGAAAAAAATTGTGATGGATTAAAATTTTTTTTAAGCTTTTAAATTTATTTATTTTTAGTTTTCAATATTCACTTCCACAAGTTTTTGAGTTCCAAATTTCTCCCCGCTTTCCCCCACCCCAAGATGGCATGCATTCTGAATACCCCTTCCCCTGGTCTGCCTTCTCTTCTGTCTCTACTCCCTCCCTTCTCTTATCCCCTTCCACTTCTATTTTCCTGTAGAGCAGGATAGACTTCTGTACCCCCATTTCCTGTATTTCTCATTTCCCAGTTGCATGTGGAAACATTTTTTTAAAAACATGTTAAACTTTTTTTTTAATAAAATAAAACATTTATTTGACAACTTTGTGTAGGCTCAAAACCACCCTGGTGCTTTCTACTGCTAACTGTTTTTCCAATTAAAGCACCTTAGTCATTAGAAGTAGTAATATAGCAGTACATTTGAAGAAATCCTGAGCCTATAGTCTATGTAAGAAGATAGCTTACATTAGCAATGCTTGCTGTTCTGGTTTAAAATTTTAATTTGCCTTTTTCTCTTTCTGTCCTTATGTTTTCCATGTATATTATTCCAATGGCTTATTATGCTAATCCTAACACATTTTTGAAGAGAGCAATCAAAATTTAGAATTTCATTTCTTTATCAGATTCACAGGTTATGTGACCTACAAATTATATTCTAGCTCCTTAATTAGAGACAATCCTTCTAAAGTAATCTTATTTGTTTTATGAACAGTGCTGTGCTGTTTATAAAACTGTCTTGAGACATCAATATCTGTCACTCCCTACTTTCCATTTTGGTCATGTTATAGCAAAAGCTATCTTCATAGAAAATACCTACTGGTTTTCATGCACTGTTTTTGTTTTTTTTTTAAGATTATACTGTGGAGGAGTAGTACATAGTTTTGAGGAAAATGACTTCCCAAGTGAAGTTCAATTGTTAATCTTTTTTATATTTTTTATAATAAATAATAATACTGAAATATTGGTATCTGACATCTAATTTTTTAAGGTTTACTGAATATTTTGCTTACAATTACTTGTGAAATACTTAGTGCAACTGCTGTTGTTCCTGATTTACAAATGGGAGAATTGACATATATGATTAAGTGACTTACTCAGGGTCCCCAAAGCTGGTAAGATGCAAAGGTGAAATTCAGAGTAGGCTTTCATACTCTTAAGATCACATTTTCCTCTTTCTTTGTCATTCTGCAGAGATGCGCTTGGTAGGGTAATGCTCAGGCATGAAAAAGAGATAGGTTGTCTTTATGCCACATGGGTAATAGAGACCTGTAATGGCGAGGTCTCCTGAATTGCTACTGGTAAGCAGTATAACTCCTTTAAAGTTAATAGATGCATAATCAGAGGCTCAATTCAAGTGACTTTCTCCAAGTCATATATATAACTATCAGAGCCAGGATTCAGACTACCTTTTTCTGAACCAAGAGTCTGCCTGGCACAGGGGATAGTTAGGAAAGTAGAATTGGAGTCAGAAGGACCTGGATTCAAATGTCACCTCAGACATTTACTAGTTGTGTGACTCCAGGCAAATCACTTAAATTATTTTTGCCTTAGTTTCCCCATCTACAAAATTGGGGGCAAGAGAGGTTGAACTCACTTATTAAGGTTCCTTCCAGGTCTAAATTTAAGAACCTATGGAAAGTATAGTTTTTCTTTTCCCTTTACTTCTTTTTCAGGTAGGTAATGTGAATCTCAAGAACTTGAGAGGCTTCTAAGTACTCTAGCTGCATGGTTTAAATGACTGACTGTGGCACTGACTATCTTAGTTTTTAATGTTATCATTTATAATCCTGACATGTTCATTTATTTTTTTCCAAATCTCATGACTTCATTACCCAAAAAAACAAAACAAAACAAAACAAAACAACAACAACAACAACAACAAACCAAAAACAAGAGAGGCATTCTGTTTTATGCTTAAAAAAAGAAAACTTACAATGCACAGTGCCAAGTACATAGTTGGTATTCACTATATACTGCTGGTTAGTGATGAGGTTTAACTGTGACTACATCTGTATCAATATGCTAACCTGGGCAGTGTGGTGTCACAGAAATCAGTTGGAATTGAAATCAGAACTGAATTTGATTCCTGCCTCCATAATTTATTGGTACTCACTTCTTTGACCCTCAGTTTTCTTGTCTGTGAAATGAGGTAATAATAAAGTACTATTTAAACTGTATGAGTAAACTGGGTAATCTAGAGGAAAGAGCATTGGATTTAGTATCAGGTTATATGAGCTACCTGTCTCACCCTCAGGTGTTCTGTTGTTGTTCAACTGTGTCAAATTCGTTGTTTGTTTTTTTTTTTTGATGAGGCAGTTGGGGTTAAGTGACTTGCCCAGAGTCATACAGCTAAGTGAGTATTATGTGTCTGAGGTCAGATTTGAACTGAGGTCTTCCTGACTTGAGGGCCAGTGCTCTATCCACTGTGCCACCTAGCTGCTTCTTTCGTGTCCCATTTGGGGTTTTCTTGGCAAAGATACTGAAGTGGTTTCACATTTCCTTTTCCAACTCATTTTACAGATGAGGAAACTTGAGGCAAATAGAGTTAAGTGACTTGTCTAAGATCACACAGCTAGTAAGTATCTGAGGCTAGATTTGCTTTCAGGAAGATGAATCCACCTAGCTGCTTCATATTTCTGTGCATTAGTAAAATTAAGAACTTGGACTAGAACCTAGTCACTGGTTGATTGCTAAGATCTTTCACTTCTAAATCATGCTATGATCTTTCACTTCTAAATCATGCTATGATCTTAAGTATCATATAAATTTGAGATGTAGGTGGGTATGTCTAAAGAAAATCTTACATCTTCATAGTACTTATCCTACTTCCCACATTTAATCTTTGATCTTTCAACAGAGTTATTACTGTTGACAACTTGGCCATTTACTCCCAGCGAGGGACAAGTTGGAGTCAGCTCATACTGGGGAGAACAGATTGTTAAATTTTTCACTGTGAGCATTTATACTGCAGAAATCTGGGAAACACTATAAATCAGGGCTTGATTTATTGTTTTGTTGATTGTTTAGACTTAGGAAGGTTATTGATAGAATGTGAATAATGCAGATTAAATTTAAAAGTATATCAAGGGTACAGTTTTGTCCACTGGAGTTCTGGTTGTTAAACGTTTACCAGCACACCCTTGCTCTCAACTCATAACTTTTGCTTATAAAGAGGGCTTCTACTGGTCAGAATTGTATCCCAGAACTATATACCAGAACTGGTTTGTTTTGTAGGTACTATTTGCCACGGAATATTACTGTGCCACATTGTGCAAAGTTGTATTTCAGTGTACCTTGAAAGCCTTGCTTTAGTCTTGTTTGCAATTAGTTTGAGAATCTTCTTAATCCTTGCTACACATGTCCAATTGTGTTGTTATGCACATTCAATTTCAGTAGTCTGGCTTTATTTCTGGAATTGATTGTGGCTGATCCTCTCTAGATCCTTTCATGATCGCTAGGGTTTGGAGATCATGCAGCTGCTAAAATACTGAAAGAGTCAAGTTATGCGGTCTAGAGCAGACACAGACGCTTAAGGCTTATTGGACAAAGCCAGTGGCTTCATAGGCCTCTGATTTGGCTGAATCTGGATGCCACAGGTATTCCTGTGCTCAGTATGGCATTCTCCCGGAGATCATGCTGTTCCTTCACTCATTGCATGTTAGTTAGGAAGTAGTATATTGAAATATTTCAGGAGGACAATTTCGAACTGATATAGCCAAGATTCCATTAACAATGTCAATTAAGATTGTTTGGTTTGGCCGATGCTGTAAGGTCTAGAATGAAGGTTAGAATTTGGATCCTTCTGTAATCCCTTAGTAGACTGATGGTTAAATATATGGTTATTGAAGAATTTTTAAAACAAATTTAGTTCAAGGGAACAGAGATTGGTCCTGTGATTTCTTTAGTATAGAGAGTTCTTAGATGAGAAAACTGCTCCTATCAATGCATTTTCTTTTCAAATTATAGTCTTACAGAATTTCCTAGAACATCTTATTTGCCCAGGATGTGTCGGAGGCTGGACTTGAAACCGGGTCTTCCTGACTGAGTTCAGGTCTTTATCTACTATGTCATGCAACTTCTTAGCACTGGATGGCAAATTTCATAATTTTAGGGAGAAAAATTTGTGGTCTTTTCAAATGTACTTTCCCCCTCTGAAAGTAATCTCTCTTGCTTGCTCTGCCTTTTTCTCTCTCTAGGTGACTGGCATCGTGGGCAGAGCAGATGTATTGGCTTGTTTGCTATTTCTATTGGCATTTCTCTCCTATAATAGGTGAGTATCATTATATTTGTTCTTCCTTTTGATCCATTTCTCTCCTTTGAGAACCCTTCAGTGTTTGTAGTCAACTTGAATCAGTTGACCTTCCAGAGCAAGCTGTTTTTCTGAAAGAAAAAATTATGCCATCAGAAGTACTTTTTGTGTACCAGAAAGAGTAGACTAAGATTCTCTCTTTATCCCAATGCTCTACTACTTAAAACTATATCAATTCTTTGAAATGAGCTATGGGGTTAAAAATGGACCCTTTCCCCCATAATTTTAGGAAACTAAACCCTTCTTACCCTTCTTCTGTAATTTTTGACCAAGAACAAAAAATTTGGAGTTCTAGCTTCCCCCAAACAAAGAAAACTTCAAACCTATGTACAGTTCTTTCATCTCTTCATTGAACTTTGCTGTATTTAATATTTCCTATGTCACTCTTCACCTATTCCACCTCTTTCTTAGTCCCTCAATTATAGTTTGCAAATTAGCTCAAAGTTTAAGAGAAATTAGGATCGATCTAAAGCAGGGGTTCTCAAATTTTTTAAAAATTCCTTCATCTTATATATTGTGAATATCTTCAGCAGGGGGAAATAAAGGATTCTAGGATGTATGGGTAGGATTTCTTTGTTGTTGGGAAATAGAGAGTGGTGGTATTATCCTTATATTTTAACCATTCTGAAAAAATAGGGTTTGCATCTTGCCGTTGGTCTGTTGGTATAGGCAGAGGGAAAGAGAAAAAGTCAATGAGAAATGTTGTTTTCCCTCATAGAATATATGACCTCTTTGAGGGTAACTTCTTGAAGGATTGTTTAATTTTTGTCTTTATTTTCCCAGTATCTAGCACAGTGTTTCTTTTTGGTTGATTGATTGTTGATCAAAGGGAGTTAGGAAGAAAAGATGGCAATAGCAATCATGCTGGCATGGTTTCAGGAAACAAAATAATTCCAGGAATTGTGCCTAGATTTCCATGCAGTCACATAGACCCTTTTACTGACCTCTTTCCCAATTTCCCTCAGACTTCCCTACTATGTTATTTCATTGCTGCTGGCTGGTATTCTCTCCCCTCCTTCTGCCCAGGTGCTAGGGAGGGATAAGATGCCAGCTGTCGCTCTGCAATCTTCAGAACTTGAGATGTTCATGAAGTTGCTGCTTCGGATCAAGGAAGCAAAACCAAAAGAAACAGAGGTGAACACAAGATGTGCTTTTCCCCTTAATCACCTCTTGGAGAGGCAGCTTAAAGAAAAAGCTAAGAAGGAAAAGGCTGATTAAGGGAATAGTCACCTCTTTTGCATACACACTCAGTTCTGGCTCTGCAGCCCTGAGTAATCTGTTTTTCTGGCTCTGAAGACAATAGAAGAGTTTTCATTATGAACTTTGTAGCTGTATTTCAGTCATGCATATCCTGATACTAGTTCCCTTCCAAGTTTTCACATGGTCACTTAGACTGAAACCAGATTGGGAGTATCTGAGCATAATTCAAGAACTGGCCTTTATAGGTTAACCCACTCATGTTACATTTGAGTGTCTTGTAACCTTGAATCTTTGGCAATTTGTTATGGTCATGATTCATAGGCATACAGCATCACCATGAAAAGCAGTATGATGTAGTAGCTAGAGCGTTGGATTTGAAGTTAGAAATGTTCAGGTAACTCTAATTTAAGACAGACCAAAAAAAAAAAAAGAAATGTTCAAGTAACATTTCTAACATTTACTAGTTGTAAGATGCTGAACAAATCACTTAATCTTTTAAGTCTCAGATTACTGGTAAAAATGAATAGATAAAACATAACAATGCTTACCTCACAGGGTTGATGTGAAGATCAAATGAAACAATATATTAAAATACCTTGCAAACTGAAATGCTATATAAGTATAAGTTATCATTCTTGATGTTAGTGTTAAAAAGGTAGGCTTTTAAGACAGGATCATTGAAGGATGCTATAATTTCCCAAATGTGGTCTAATTTACTCTGTTCTTCCTATGCAATTCTAAGCCATGCTTATTTACCATCTGCAGTGTCTGTTTAAGATATGAAGTGAAATTCTAAAGTGATTGTCTGCATTTCCAACTGCATGTCTAGGCAGTAAGATTTTTGATTTCTTTGTTTTTTATTATTTGGATTGCTAATCTGATTCTTTGAGTGGCGGTGGATCTCAGGAAGGAGCTTCTCGTCCCTGCATTTTTCCATGGCTTAAAGCAGTTGGCACAATGTTGGCAAACAGAGGCATCTGGTATATCTCCTCATCTATAAAGGAACCTTCTTTCATTTGTACTTGGGTGACCCATTAAGAATTCAGAGGATTTGGAGTCAGAGGACCTCGGTTTGGATTCTGGTTCTGCTCCTTATTATATATGGGGTATGGGGGAAATCACTGTTACCACTCTGGGCATTTCTGTCCTTACCTGTAAAATGAGGGGGTTGGACTTGATAATCATTAGTGGGAGTGGATGGGTGTGGCTCATCAATATCTAGGCCAGTTCACTTTGTGCAGGCTCAAAAACATTTGCCCTGCTAGTTATCATCATAAAGAGATTTGTAAGAGTTACTTAGTAATGCTTCTCCTCCAGAAAACTTTCAAACTTGTTTTCAGGAGCATGGATCTGCTTTACATTGGGGAGTGTTTTCTTCCGAAGACTTCTTCATTCTTTCTGCTGCTCAGTTTGTTTCTGGGGACCTGTGCAATGTTGGTCAAAGAGACTGGAATCACCGTGTTTGGAGTGTGCCTAGTCTATGATCTTTTTTCCCTACCTCACAACAGAGGTAAATGGTAAGTTGTTTTGAAGGTTTTCTTCTATATTAGCAGACAAATCATAAGTAGAATCATATGGACCTGTATAAGCACTGAATGCTCAATTTTTAAAAAAAAAACCTTTAGCATAGTAGAAACAAAAAGACCTATAAAAATAATTATAACAGTATATTTCTGTCTTTGTTTAAACACTAGGATCAACTCTGCCATACCATATTAAGATTTCTAAAAGGTATTAGATGATGGAAGCTACACAATTCCCCCCCTCCAAGTTTTCTCTTATTAATGTTATGCCCTTTTAATGAGGCTGACTAAAAATGGTGGTGGTTAGAGTTTGCCATTTTGAATGGATAGAACTTTTGTGGGCCTGCTTTTTCTTTGTCTGAAATGGGTAGGAGTATCCAAACCTGTCTTTTCCTTACTGCTCATCTGTCTTGCAGCAAGACCCACATGGTAGTTTCTAGGTTTTTGGAATAAGTATGGTTTGAGTATGAAAAGATGGAAGGCATTCCAACTGAAGTGGAAAAGCACCAAGATAATTAAGGCAAGGGAAAGGAAGTGGGAAGGCATAGTAAGAATACAGAAAAGTACATCTGTTTAAAAATAATCTTACTGTTATAGCTTACATTTATATATTACTTTCCTAAATAACAACAAACATGTGAGGACACTAGTGCAAGTATTGGTTTACCTATTTGACAGATAAGGATACTGAGCCTTGGAGAGGTTAAGTGACAAGTATAGACAGGCAACTTGCATGTATCCTTGCTAGGACTTAAACCTACGTCCAATGCTCATTTTAGTATTCTCATGTTTCATATAAGATCATTTTAGATTTTTAATTGTGGGAACATTTTTTCAAGTTCTGAAGTAAAGCAGCAGGTGCATTGGCTAGAGTACCAGGCCTGGAGGCAGGAAGACCTGAGTTCAAATCCTGCCTCACACATTTAATAGCTTGTGACCCTGAGCAAGATGCTTAACCCTCTGTGCCAGTTTCCTCATCTATAAAATGAACTGGAGAAGGAAATGACAAAAAACTCTAGTATCTTTGCCAAAAAAACCCCCTAAATAGGGTCATAAAAAGTTGGTCACGACTGAAACTACTGAACAACAAACATCAAAAATCTGAAGCAAAATTGATATCTGGCTACTTTTCTTGGAGGAACCAATGAGTAAAATGATTGCCAGTGAATTAATTCAGAGGTCAATGAACAGCCTTATCTTAAGTATCATTGATAAGGGAAAAAAAGGAAAGTAAAGAAGGGGAACAAATGGAAATAGACATGAGTGAATGGAATAGAGCGTCCAAAACTGTGGACTTAGATGCCAGCTGTGCCATTTATTCATTATAAATGGCTTGATTCTTTCATCTAGACAGATTACTGCTATCCTAGAGACAGGTAGTGCTGCTGCTGTTGTCTGAGATGTATGTGTAGAATTACAGAATTCTCAGAATTTTACTCTTGGTCCTAGTAGCCATACAGTCCAACTAGGATCAAATAGTTAGATGTATTACTTCTCTTGTGAGTGATACTGTAAAGTAAAATTCATTTTGGAATTGATTTTTCCATTCCTTGTAATTAATTAGATTAAAAGAAACTATTATGCCATAATTTTTACGTTTTTTTTCTACCATCCATATCAAAGCTAAAATATCTCACTTGAGATTCATACATACAAAATGCAATAATTTTCAGTGCATTGAGAAAATTAAAGTATCATGTTTCTTTTTTTTATTTTTACAAGCATTTATTATTTTTCCCTTCCATTGCCCTTGCGAATTGACCAAAGAAAAGAAAAAGAAAACCCTCATAATACATATGCATAGCCTAGCATAACAAATGTATGCCCCATTCTGCATTTTAAGTGCTTTACCTTTTGGGCAAGAAGTGGGGAAGTGTAGTATGCTTCATTTTTTGTCCTCTAGCATCATGATTTGTCATTGCATTAATCAGCATTCTAAAATTTCAGAAAATTTTTGTTTATATTTTTTTGTCATTGTATACATTCTCCTAGTTTTGCTTACTTCACTCTGCATCATTTCATATAGGCCTCCCCAGTTTTCTCTAAAAATGTCCATTTTGTAATTTCTTATGGACAATGAGATTCCATTATATTCTTATACCTTAGGCATTCTTCAGTAAATAGGCATCCTCTTGGTTTTCAGTTTTGGGCTACTATGGAAAGAACTGTTATAAATATTTTTAAACAAATGAGTTATTTTCCTCTTTGATCTATTTTGGGAACAGGACTACTACTTATGTAGTTGAGCCAAAGTGTATACATAGTTTTAGGATATAGTTCCAAAATGCTTTCCTGAAAGGCTGACCCAACAGTATCTTAGTGTGCTTATTTTCCCATAGCTCCACCAGTATTCATCAGTTTTCTCTTTTGTCAATGTTACTAATCTAATAGATGTCAGGTGGGACTTCAGAGTTGCTTTACTTTCTACTTCTCTATTATTGATTTGGAACATTTTTTCATATGATTGTTGAGATGAAAGCTTGGATTTCTTCCTTTATAAACTGCTTATTCAGAGCTTTAATTATTTTTCTATTGAGAAATGGTGTATAGTCTTAGAAATTTATATTAATTCCTTATCTTGAATACTAGGCCTTTATGAAAAGAAACTTGAATATATTTTTCCTGTTTATCTGTTTCTCTTCTAATTTTAACTGCATCAGCTTTATACAAAAAAATGTAAAATTTTATGCAGTCAAAATTGTCCATTTTGTCCTGTGTGAGCCTCTCTGTCACTTGTTTGGTTGTGAACTCTTCCTTTATTCATAGATTTGAACGGGAATTTCTTCCTTGCTTCTCCAATTTGCTTATGATGTCACTTTTTATGTCTAAATCATATATCCATTTGTATATTATCTTGCTATATGGCATTGACCTATATATAATTTCTGCTCAACTGCTTTCCAGTTTTCCTAATAACTTGTGCTTATTGAATACTATACTATATTCATTTACTTCTGTGTGGTGTGTACCTAATCTGTGAGTATCAAATTTTTGGTGGTTACTGCTTTGTAACTACTTTTGTTACTTTTTTTTGGTTACTATTTTCAAATTACTTTGTAGATTACTGAAGTCCCACCTGATACCTATCAGGTGGGCAAAGATGACAAAAAGAGAAAAATGACAAATACTGGAGAGCCTTTGGAAAAATGAGCACTTTAAAAGTTATTAAACTGTGCATAGCCTTTGACTCAGCTTTCTTCTTCAGTCCTACTTTCCCCCTCCCATTATTTCCCTTGATAGTCTAGGCCTTTTGTTCTTCCAAATGAATTTTGCCATTGTTTTAGACAGCTTTATGAAATAACCCACTTTGTAGCCTGATTTTTATGTAGTATTAAATTTGTAACTTAATTTACGTAGTATTCTCATTTTTATTACACTGGCACAATCTAATCATGAATTCTTTATTTCTTTAAAGAGTATTTCATAAATGTTACAGCTATTGAATTTGACATGGTATATTGAGTCCTAGATATTTTATGCATTTTTAAATTATTTTGAATGAAACTTCCTATTCTATTATTTTTTCCTGAATTTTACAATTGCTGTATATAAATATTTTTAAATTTTGTGCTTATTTTGTATCCTGGTGCTTTACTGGTATGCCTAATTCTCTCTCTCTCTCTTTCTTTCTTGCTAATTCTTTTAGGATTTTGTATGCAAACCGTGACATCATCATCAAAAAAAGGAATAGTTTTCTCTCTTCTTTGGCTATCATTCTGCATTTAAATTTTTTGTCTTAGTTTATCATTGACATTTCTAGAACTGTGTCAGATAATAGAAGAGAAAGGGAGGCATCTTTGCTCTATTCCTGTATTTGTTGGGAATGCTTCTAGTGTTTCTCTATCGTGTGTAATACTAGCTTTAAGTTTTAGATAATTTTTATCATATTAAGAAAAGTTTCTTCTACTACCATCTACTAGATGTATTTTATAGATCTAGAACAAATAATAACAAAATTCATCTGGAAGAATGAAAGGTCAAGAATATCAAAGAAGTCAAGGAAAAATGTGAAGGAAGGTAGCCTCACCTGTACTAGAGTTCAAAGTGATAATTGTCAAAACAATCTGGTACTGGCTAGGAGATAGAATGGTGGATCAGTGGAATAGATTAAATATGCAATAAACAGTAGTAAGTGACCATAGTAATCTAGTGTCTGATAAACCAAAAGATCCAAGCTTTTGGGACAACAACTTTCTATTTGACAAAAATCTCAGGGAAAACCAGAAAGCAATTTGGAAGAAACTAGGCATAATCCAACATCACAGCATATAACAGGATAAGGTCAAAATGGGTACATTAGATATAATGGATATAAATGATGATGTAAGTGAATTAGGGGAGTGTGGAAAATTTTACTCATCAGATCTATGCATGAGGGAAGAACTTATAGCCAAAAAAGAGTTAGAAAGGATCACAGGAAGTATAATTGATAATTTTGATTACATGAAATTAAAGAGTTTTTATATAAACAAAATCAATGCTGCCAAAATTAGAGGGAAAGCAGGAAACTGGGGGGAAATTTTATAGTATATTTCCCTGATAAAGTGCTCATTTCTCAAATATATTGGGAATTAAATCAAATTTACAAAAATAAGTCATTCCACAATTGACAGATGGTCAAAGATGTGAACATGTAGTTTTCAGAAGAAGAAATCAAAGCTTTCTAAAATCATATGAATTGATGCAATGTGGTGTGAGTTAGAACAAGATCATTGTAAGAGTAACAGCAATACTATAATGATCAACTGTGAGTTAGCTAGTCTAATCAACAATGATCCAAAACAGTTCTGAAGATTCATGATGAAAAATGCTATTTACTTCTAGAGAGAGAACTGATGAGTCCTGTGCGCAAATTGAAGTATAACCTTTTCACTTTATTTTCCTTGCTTTTTTTGTTTTTTTGCAATATGGCTAGTATGGAAATAAATTTCGCACATGATTTGTGTCACATGTATAATTGATATATTGATTACATTCTCAATAGGTAGGGGACAGGCTGGAGGGAAGGAGAGAATTTGGAACTCAATTAAAAAAAAGAATGTTAAAAATAAATAAATAACAATTTATAAAAAGAGATTCCTCTGTACCTATACTTTGGGGGTGTGTGTGTGTGTGTGTGTGTGTGTGTGTGTGTGTGTGTGTTAATGGCATAAATGAGTTATATGCCTTCTTCATGACTTTTTCTATAACTGTTTAAATAATTGTGTTTTTAAAAAAAACCTGTCTTATTATTTGTTGTTTCCTGATGTTGAACCATCCTTTCATTCCTGTTAACAAATTCAGCCTGGTCATAGTGAATATATACTTTTTGGATATGCTTTTCCATAATTTTTCTTTTTTTTTTTGGCCAGGATTTTATTTAAATTTTTTTAAATTAATATTTGTTACCAATTTGTTATTTTTCCTTCCTTTGTCCTTTTCTGGTTTAGGAGTCAAGGTTATATTTGTTCCTATAAAAATAGTTTGATAAAGTGTTTTCTTTCTTAATTATTAAGAATAATTTTGTAGTATAGAAATTAATCTTTAAAATTCTAAAAGAATTCATCTTTAAATTTATTTTGACTGGGGTTTTTTCCTTAGGCTGTTTACCTATAGCTATTTTAATCCCCCAAATTAGATTGTTTCAATCTATACTTATTATGTTAATGTGAGGATTTTATGTTTTTGTAGATATTCCTCTATTTTAAAAAAAATTCACAACTTTGCTGGCACATAATTATGCATAGTATGTTCTGGTAGCTATTTTTATTCTTCCTCTGTTGTAATTTCACCTTATTCATTTTAAATTTTGATAATTTGAGTTTCTTACCTCTTTTGAATCAAGTCAGCTAAGGACTGATCAGTTTTGTTCATCTTTTCAAAGAAAAGCTTTTAGTTTTGTGTTCGTGAATCCTATAGTTTTTTTCTTTTTTTAAATAACAAGAGTTAAAACTTTTGAAGTACAAAATTTGAACTCCCTTTTCTATCAATTTTCTCTTATTACTTTTGCTGATCTTGTCTTGTCCTCCTTATTTCTACTATGCTTCACTCTTAGAAATATCAATTCATGGGGAAATTAATGTTATAGAAGTTATACTATTTCCCCAGTTATGTGGCTCAAGCTTCTCAAATATTTTAAGGAGGCAACTTTTTCTTTAAAATATTTTTGTAATTATTTTTATGGAACTGCCTTTTTAGTCAGTTTACAAGCCAGATTATATTATAGTCTCACCTTGTTTTCAAACTACCTTTCATATTTTAGCTGATTTTCACAAAAGTATTTTACAAGTTATAACAGTATATATACTTTTGCCCTGCTAACTTTTGGGCCATATAAAAAAAATGACTGAACCCTGAAGTTTTTTTTTCTTGTGAAATCTATATATAATAACAATTTTAAACATAAGATGTTATCATTTTATACTTTTATTTATGAGTCTTATTTCTTGCTTTGCCATAACAGAAGAAAAGTTTAATCTTTAAAAACAGAAATATTGTCTTATAATGTTACCTACTTTTTTGTTTTCCTTGACCTAAAAAACCTATCAATACTACCAAATGGTAGTTGTCATTAAAATTTAATCAACTTCCTGCCTGTTCATGTGAGAGTTTGAGTGTGTTTATTAGTCTAATATTGGTGCTTAGGGAATTTCAACCATGTAGTAATGTCAAGGATCATGATTAATCCTTTGACCAAAGCTCTCATTGAGCAAATAGCTTTTCCCTCTTACACCATGCAATGCTCTGAAAGCCACCTGCCTGAATGAGTTCTTCCTCTAGGGCTATATTGAACCTCCTTATCCTTTGCTCTTTTCAATATTTACCATTAAGTCTCAGCAGACAACGTCTTTCCAAATAGATGAGAGTGACTGTGATATAGAAACAGATTGACTAATTATATTGTCTCAGTTTTTAGAGAGCAAGCTATAAAAATGTTTTGTTTCCTTTCCTGGCTTTGCCTTTCAGCTGCATCCTAATGTAATTTTGGTTTTCTTCACTGACAATGAATAGATATGATATCTTTTTTGGGGGAGGAGGGGGCAATGGGGTTAAGTGACTTGCCCAGGGTCGCACAGCTAGTAAGTGTTATGTGTCTGAGGCTGGATTTGAACCTGGATGGTGCTGTATCCACTGTGCCACCTAGCTGCCCCGATATGATATCTTAATGTGAAGACTTTGGCTTGGTTCAGACACAGTTATTTTAAATTATAATTTGACATTGCTTTATAGGGTTCAGGATCCTGTGACCTTTGTGTCATAACTTAAAGAGGACAACATTACCTGCTCCTATCTTCCTAGATTTGTAAAATCCATTTCCTTATTCTTTAGCCCCTTCATGATTTTACCTTACTTCTTTTCTTCTTCTTTAAGAGGAGACTATAACAAAGAATTATCATTTCTGGTGATTGCTGAATAATCCAAGTATTTTCCATTATCTCATTAACTTGCCATGAAGTTTGGAAACAAGTGTAGGGCTCTTCAGTAAACTGAAATCACATATTCTAATTTTGTGTTTTGTAGCAATTTGTATTTTGGCTAAGAATTGTTACTGTCCCTGTTAAAAAAAATCCTCCATGGCTTTCCAGAAGGGATAGCAGAGTGGTATATTAACAGGGACCCTGGTGTCTTTCCACTGAGTAGGCCAGATTCTTATCTCAGCCCCTGCATTGACACATTTATGTGTCCTTGGCCCAGTCACTGAACCTCACTACAGCTCAATTTCCTCATCTAAGTACTGAGAGAGTTGCATTGGATGATCTCTAAAGTTCTCTTTAGTGTGAAATATTTTGAATATTCAAGAAGCGTATATTTGAAGTAGTCTAGGAAGTGAAGGGAAAACTCATTATTGAATAAGGTGACATTTTATCTATGGATTGGGATGACTTTTCCATGCATCATATTTGTGAAGAAAAATGTGTGTTAGAACCAACTCCAACAAAGAGTTAAAATTTTTTTTCTGTTTTTTGCTTCCTAATATCCTGTTTATTTTCAATTTTATGTGTAATTAGGAGCAACCAAGAAGTGCAACAGTGGATTTCTCACCAGGCTGTAGCCTCTGAACTCTCCTTGCTATCCTCCTCTCACAAGGAAAATGCAAAGCAACATCCCAAAGGGACATGGAACTCATGCCCCTCCCTATCGCCTACTGAACAGAAGAATGTAATCCCTGTGTCCAGACCAACAATGTGGAACATTTTGAGGTATAATTCTGTGAGCTTGCTGTCAGTTTCATTTTCAACATTCAGTAACAAAAAGAATTCTAATAAGTCTGTCATTGGTTGTTCTGTGATGATTAAGGATGAATTACAAGAGTTTAGATTGTTTTGAGGCTTTTACTTTTGGTTATGTTTGATTTTAGAAGGGGTATGCTGTAGCGAAAAGGAAACTGGAGTTAGAATTAGAGGACTGGGGTTCAAATCTTGACTCTGCCCATTATTAGCTGAGTGACAGGCAAATTATTTTTCCTCTCTGGGCCTCAGCCTCCTCAATTGTAACATGAAGAGGCTGGACTAGATGGCCTTCTAGTTGTAAATCTGTGATTGACACAGTAGGGTAGAGGGGTACTGGCCCTTCACCAGTGAATCAGTGGAAGCTCTGATATTTGATGTGATTTGAAATGGGAAGAGGAAGGCATCAGCATGAAACTCCTGATTTAAGAAGAATAAGTAGTTTATATGTAATGAGTGTTCGTGTGTGCTCGTGTAGATTATTTAAGTCTATGTGGACCTGTCTAAATGTACCTTACTGGAATCTGTTCTGCTCACTCTCCTCCAAGGGAGACATTGATTCCTGCCCAAAGGAGAGCAGGAGATTGGAGCCATGAGGTTGGCCAATTTGCCCCTCCTCAGGGAGAGGGTGTCAGGCTAGAATTACATCTAGCCACTTCCCTAAATATATATATGGTAAATTATAATGAATCTCAGGACATACTTTGTGAAAAGACCTAGAATGAATCCAATTGGCATGCTGCTTATATGAATCAGGCTGAGTGATTGATAGTAACTAAGTTTATTGGTCACAGGGAAGAAATCTTTCCTATTGTTTATATTCATTGAATAATATATTGAATGCTCGATTTAGGATCAGAAACATGTGGGTTTGAATTATCCTTTAGATATTAACTGTATGACTGTGGACAACATATCTAACTTCTCTCAGCCTCAGTTTCTTCATTTGAAAAATAAAAATATTTTTATTGTTTGCTTCATAGGGTTGTTGTGAGGATCAAATGAAGTAATTTATATAAAAAGATTTGTACATTTTTAAGCACTGTACAAATATCTGTGGATGAAGATAATTCCAGGGTCGGTTACTTCAGGGAAAACAACTCTTGCAGTCCCTTCTAACTCTGAAATTCTGTGATAAAGATAAAATATAATGGAAAAATACACAGGGTATACTTACATGTATGCAAACATACCCCTGTGCCATAGATACATATGTGTAGATACATGTGTATATATGTATACATATGTATATATAGTAGACTTTTTAACTAAACAAAGGTTAGAAGAGATCATGAAAAATGAAATTGGTAATTTTCTCTATGTAAAATAAGAAAAACTGTTATACCAATAAAATAAATGAAGATGGATTAAGAACCTTTATTTACAGTAAATATCAACAATTAAAGAATGATATACATATATATAGGAAACTGACAAAAATATGTAACACTAAGAGCCAATTTTATTTCTCTCTCTCCGTATGTACTTATTTAATTATACACATGTAGCTGCACATATGAGTGGATGTATCTATGTATTTACTTTCATATACACATGTGTGGGCAGCTAGGTGGGGCAGTGGATATACTGCTAGGCCTGTGGTCAGGAAGACCTGAGTTTAAATCAAGCCTCAGACATTTACTAGCTGTGTGACCCTAAGCAAGTCACTTAACACTGTTAGCTTCATTTTCCTCATCTGAAAAATTAGCTGGAGAAGGAAATGGCAAACCATTTCAGTATCTTTGCCAAGAAAACTCCAGTGGGGTCGTGAAGAGTCAGATACAACTGATAGAACTGAATAACAACCACACACATGTATGAGAGGCAGTATGGCATGGTAGATAGAAGGCCAGTATTGGAGTCAGGAAGGCCCGAATGCAAGTACTGTCTCTGATAAAAACTAGCTGTATGACCATAAGTAAGTCATTTAAACTTTTGATGTCTCCTAGGCAACTCAGTAGAACTAAAAATTACAATTTTGTTGCATATCTGCATCAGTGTAAGGAGTTTCCACATGGAGGACCCAAATCCAATGAGATCACTGGAAAAAAAATTCACACAAGTACATATAACACTTTTTTAATATGGTTTTTATTAATGCCTTTTGTACTCAATTAGTTATTTCTGGAGGTGTCTTTCCTTTTCAACTGACTCCACTGCCACCACCAGCCAACCATCCAGATTAAATCTTTCCTTATAACAAAGAAAAATAAATTAAAAAAATTTTTAAATTCTTCATAAAGTGATGACATATGATAGCATATACAGTATTCTGTCTTAGTAGTTTTATGTGTCTGCTGTGAAGAGGGAGGAAATAAAAAGTACAATTTTTTTTAAAAATAAAAAATTTAAAATTTTAAAAATAGAAAAAAATTAATTTATTCTTTAAGACTATAATTGGGATTTTTGAGTGCTCTGAATTCAGCTTCCTTTTCAATATATTTTATTTATTTTGTCAAATTTCCCAATTACATGTGAAATTTTATTTAACATTCATTTTAAAATATTTTGAGTTCTGAATTCTCTTGCTCACTCCTGTCTTCCTCCCCCCCATGAGAAAGAAAGCAATATTATCTTGATTATACATTGAAGTCATGCAAAATATGTTGTCCATTCTTTGCTTTGAAGAGGACCAATAACATTATGGGGTGATATCTTGACTTGCACGTGAATTGGATTTAAATGATGCAGAATTGCACAAAATCACCAGATTCACTCTTCCAGAGTCATCAAAGTCCAGTGGGAAAACAAAAGTCAGGATGACTGGAGATGGCCTAGGGTGCAGTGGGTGACCATGGAGTTTTTGATGTCAGACCAAGCTCTAAGTAGTCTACGGTACATGCTTTAGCTGCCTTCATGGCCATTGGAACAAATTGTTCTCATTTGTCCCTTCCATTGAGGAGAAGTCTTCACATGCTTGGGGCAGATATTCCCCCTAACTCCTCAATGGATTTGCAGCCTGTAAATGGTTTAACCAAGGTGTGTTTGCTGCACATGCCTCTCTCATCTCTGGCTCGACGCAAAACATTTGGCATTTGAACAGCATGCCAGCCTATTGTAGTTGTGCTCTCTGTGGTAGAGTTTTAATGCGTGGCAGTTTAGTTCAAGAAACGACCTTAGTGTCTGGTACCTTATCCTGCCAGGTGATCTTCAGATTCTTCCTAAGACAACTGAAATGGAAGCAATTCAGTTTCCGGGAATAGTGCTGGAATACTGTCCAGGTTTCACAGGGTTACAACAATGAGATCAGCACAATGGCTCTGTATATGGTCTAATACCTCTTCTCTACCACACTTTTCCTTCAGAGCCTCCCAAATACTGACCTAGCTCTGGCAGTGCATATATCAACCTTATTATCAGTGTGTACATCCCTGGAAAGTATACTGCCAAAGTAAGTGAACTTATCTACAGTATTCAGAATTTCTCCATTTGCTGTAACCAGTGGTTCTAAGTATAGATGGTGTGGTCCTGGCTGGTGGAGCACCTGTGTTTTCTTGGTGTTCATTGTTAGGCCAATATTAGAACAAGGAGCAAGGAAATGATTCATACTTTGTTGCATTTCAGCTTCAGAGACTGCATTGAGTGGACAATCATTTGCAAACAAAAAAATCATGCACCAGCTCTCCCTCCCCTTTAGTCTTGGCTTGTAACCTTTTCAAGTTAAATAATTCAGAAACTGCTAAAGGAAAAATGAGAACTCTACTGGATTTACCATCAGGATAGTGCATCCCTCTCTAGCATTTAACTCCATCAAAAGTAAACTACAAGGAAAGCTTAGAGAGATGCAGGATTCTTGGTTCAGTAAAAAGGCAGAGGAAATTCAGTTTTACCCTGATAGTAACAATCCAAAGCTCTTTTATGACGTTCTTATGGGTCAAAGATGTATGGTGCATCTCAACTACTCAATGCTGATGGACCCACATTGATTAGTGATTAGATACTGGAGAGATGGGCTGAACACTACCATAGTGTTCTCCACAGACCATCATCAATCAGTGCTGAAGCCGCTGACTGCTTACCTCAGGTTGAAATCATTCCCTTTCTAGAAGTTTTGAATGCTGTCAGGCTCCTCTCCTGTGGCAAAGCACCTGGTACTGATTCTATTAGAGCTGAGATTTCCATGGGGGGGGGGTCCATTGCTCATACAAAAGGTGACTGAGATTTTCTGGGTTTGAGTCTTGTATTTGAAAATCAAATTTTCTGTTTAGCTCTGGTCTTTTCTTCAGGAAAGTTTGAAAGTCTCCTATTTCATTGAATTTTTTCCCCTGAAAAATTATGTTCGGTTTTGCTGGGTGGCTGATTATTGGTTGTAATCCAAGCTCTTTTGTGGTCTGGAATATCATATTCCAAGCCCTCTGATCCTTTGATATAGAAGCTGCTAAATCCTGTTTAATCCTGACTGTGACTCTTGATATTTGACTTGTTTCTTTCTGGTGCTTGCAGTATTTTCTCCTTGACCTGATAGTTCTGAAATTTGGCTATAATGTTCCTTTTTCAAGGTTGAGCTCTGCTCCTGGAGGACAGGGGGCACTGTCCCAAGCTTCTTGCACTGGGGGTCAGGGGCCTGGTCATTGGTTATCTGTGCTGGGGCCTCTGTGGCTGGCTAGGGCCTAGTCACACCTGTGCCTTGGGTTCCAGGGCTGGAAGTTTGCCTGCTGCGCTGGGGCTGGAGGCCTCACAGCTAGCCTACTGAGCCAGAACTGCGGGGCCTAGGTTGCTGATTTGTGCTGTGGCTAAGAGCCTCCTGCTGCCTGGATACTGCCGGCACTTGGCTGCACACCCATTTTACCGAAGTGAGACTGACCTTTCCTGAAGTCCTTTTAAGTTATCTTGGTCTGGAAAATTGTTTCACTCTGTCTTTTTGTGGATCTGTTGCTCAAGAGTTCTTTTAGAGGCTTGATGACATATTGTTTTTGAGGGAAACGGGAGAGCTCAGGCAACTTCTGGCTTCTCTCCTCCATCTTGGCTCTGCC